TCTATCTGCTAGAGGGCGCAGCTTGAGGTGGTCCAACATTTCTGACACACTTGAGGTACGATCGTTGTACCTGTGTGTATTGAGCACATAGCGCGCTGCCCTTCGCTGGACCATTTCCAACTTGTCAATATTTGTTTGGGTGTGAGGGTCCCATACTGTACAGACATACTCAAGTGATGGTCGAACTAATGATTTGTATGCCTGCACTTTGACTGATGTTGAGCCAATTTTAAGATTTCGTCTTAAAAAGCCTAGAGTAGAATTTGCTTTTGGGCAGATAATATTTATATGTGAATCCCATTTAAGGTCAGATGATAGTGTTGCACCCAGATACTTTGCCTGACTGTACAGGTGCTTTATCTTTAGACACGAAGTTACTATTAAATTACAGCAATACATTTTTTCCCCTCATCATAAGATTACACGTTAATAACAATGCATTATGTAGCTGATATCGGCGCAGCTCCTTTCCTATCTGACACGATAAATCACCTAACATAGAACCCCTTAATATTCACAACGGTAACATATATCCTTACAATTGAGATAGAAACGTTTGATATAAACAAAGTTTTAAACATGACATTCCCAAATCGAATTAATATTTCATCGATCATTTTTCATCATGCTGTGAAAACAGACTTTATAATTATGATTTGTTTGTGATAATGATAAAATTATATTTTTGAAAGTTATTTCTGTACATGTCATATAAGTATAACCATGTATTTTTTTTACTGTGAATTAGCAGGCAGACTTTATTGACAACGGATAGTATTATAACATAATGTGTGATGACTTAAGGTTAATAGGGTGAATATTGACTAACAAATAGATGTATACCTTTCTTGATAAATTTTTGAATCATATAGACATAATATGAATATTAATATTATTGTTGAATCATGGTACATGTAGACAGCATATGTGTGGTGTCGATACCCCAGGTGTCGTTGAAGCATTTCAATTTATATTATCTGGATACAATGTTGGATTTAATTGTCCTCATACCAAGACAATTTGATTTAGCCTGTTTGTAGACAACTGTGATGACATATAGTTAAAATTTAAAATGGAAATAAAATAATATGTCACCGAATTCGGAAAAAAAGATCAGTTATGTATAAAATAACTTACACTGTATTGTCACCACAGCTGATATAGTTGACGATCCGTAGATATTACCAACAGTACATCTGTATGTTCCCTGTTCTGATCTGTCCAGTTGTCCCAGTGATAACACAGCTGAGGCAGTAAAGTTGGTGTTGTCAGGTTTAGTCCAGACAAATGCACAGCCAGGTATGCAGTCAGCTGTACAGGTGATGTCCGGTAGCGTGTTCCCCTCAGTCCTGGTGTAGGTAATGTCCGGTGGGGACAGTGTAACAGTACGTGGACCACCTACAATACATTATAAACATTGTTTATTGGACAAGCAAGCTTTTCCAACAATGTAGACAATACAAAGTTGTCAGAATTGGGAGCAATCAACTTCTTTATCAAGACATCGAAAAATACACATAAAAAACACAGAACACTTACATTACATATGAACAAGAACGCAGAATGTACACCGACCGCATCGTTGACGCTATGTGTGTGCAAACAATGACAAAGAAAATTCTAACATACCGAGAGACTGAAGAATAAAGAAAGATGCTGAAGCTGGAAAAAAATGACACAATTTGTCAAGTGACAAAAAATTCGAATATGGAGTTGAATTTCTTGAAATAAAATTTATAATAGTTACATATATGGTAAATATATATGCCTGCGAAATATTTAGTGAGGTGAGGGTAAAGCATTACAGTGTACAACTAAGTGACGAATTTAAGGTCGCACAATGGCCCATAGTAAGACAATAAGCTGAACTCCAGCCCTACGTGATGTGACTCCCAACTCTTGCCGATTTTCGGACATTTAAGTGATCAGGCTATGGTTTTCCATGAGCTCCAGGTCAGTCACTGTCGTCCAAGTCAATGTTTGAGACGGGTTGCATGCCACAGCTTTTCAAAACTATGCTCTTCAGCACTACTGGATCAATAGCTTGTCGCTAATTATCCATCAGGTCAAAGGGAGGTACTGCTGCAGATGATAAGCACTCTTTATCTGCAAATGTCATTGATGACAAGAGATGTCAGCGAGGGGAGGGGGTTAACATCGATTAATGACAACGGAAGTGTTTTTATCTAGTATAACACTTTTGATCCAACTGCTTTTTTATATTGATATCTTGTGGTGAATTATCAATTTTATCTCTCTCGTCAAGAGCACATTTTCGTCACATATATGCTTCAGTTTCTAGGCTTATTCAACGAACCGGGAAGACTGCAATACAGATATTATAATAAAACGATGCGAAAACGGCCAGACATTTCCAGAATAGGAAAAATGTAATACAACATCATACAGTGAATAGGAAAATTGTATATTTTGCATATTTTTTATGTTAACATCGTAAGGGTGAGACCGAAAGAGGAAGGGTTGGCACACATTTAATAATGTCACAATTGCTCAAATAAAGGCAAACCATCATGTGTTCATGTGTTTTGTTTTCGGTTTCAAAATCATTTAATTTAAAGAAGACATACATGTATTTGCTGGGCCCTGTTGACCCCGGGCCTATCAAGTCCTAACACTCAACATTTAATGGTGTTTTTTAGATGCAATATTGTTAAACGTGCTTTTTGACAATAGTCATAGGAGTATTTGGTCAACTTAGTTCAAATGCTATTTATTATTGTTTATGTTTTTGAAGTGTGACTTGAAAACAAATTACTAACTAGCAACATTCATGATAGGAAATAAGTGTTGATCTAATCTCTTGGATTTTGAAAGATCAAAATTTGATTGAAAAGTTTTAAAATAGAAAAATGTTATATTTATCGAAATGCTTTTCAATGAAGTTAAATATGGAAATTGGACAAAAAAAAAGAGATCCCATGGGAATAGGCGCCCAATATCGTACCATTTTCATTAGTTCTATGTCAGTTCAATCTGTTCTTCAATTTTCTCTTATCTGTTTGGTCAGTCTGCATGGCAGCCCTCCTGTTCTTCAGATCAGTCCCAAACCATGCATAATCCAGGACCAAGGGGAACCTACATATTGTTTTTCAGATCAGGCCAACAAATATATAATATTAATTTAATGATTATATTCAAGCTTATAGAAAACAACTTTTACCTGTATGCTCAAAACAGCTTGATTTGTTGAGATGCTGCGTTGTGTATTTTATAAGGTACAATGAAGGGAGAGGGTAGCAAGACATGTAGTAACTTATTAGTAAGAGTAGTATATTTTATTGGTGTGAAGTCTGTGTATACAGTTTGTATGTAATTGATTGGATCATAATCATTATACATATTATGGGGGGGGGGGCAGCTATTAGTTTCTGAGGAAGGGTCAATAAGGTAACGTGTGCAATAAAGTTATGAGGTTAGAATATTCGTTAGTGGTCAAGTGACTAATTGAACAATGGTCAGTAAGTATAGTGACGATAGGCAAGTTGCTAGAAAACTTTTGAAGGGAAAGCAGATATTGTATCATATTACTTGCATTACTTAATTTACAATGGGGTACTTGTATGACTGATAAATGACTTGATAAATAGTAGGCCAATACATTCATCGAGGGGGCCAATACATTAAATAAACTAAATTGAACATCCAATTCAGTCTTTCCACCATAGTTATTAGTATTTCTCCGTATTTAGTGATAAGACTATAGGTTGTTTTTAACGGGCCCGCCCTTATTACAACCTTGGACCTGTAGACTAACAGATGATTATCTACAGTCTCCTTTAAGGATACACTAATAATAATTACTCTTATTAAAAGCTGATATCATTTATCTGTCAGTTTATGTAATATGTTGCTGTATCCTGTGAACGCCCGCAGGTTATATGCTGTCTTTGCCGGGATAACCCCCAATCACAGCCTTGGACATGTAGACTAACAGATGATTATCTACATGCTCCAGTAATGATACATAACTACCATTACAACATTTATTGCCCTTATTATCTGCTAGTAATTAATATATATCTGTACCATATGACAATACAGATTAGACCGTCTTTGCCGGGCTCCCCCTAATTACAGCATTGGACATGTAGACTAACATTATGCGGTTATCTACAGGCTCCAATTATGATGTACTAATACTAACTACACTGGCAGATATCATATATCAGCTGCCAAGGGCAATCATATAGAGTAGCCGCAAGAATGCCAAATTGTTATAATTGAACAGTAAAAACAAGTATGAGCTAATAAACATTTGTTCAACTTTCCTTTCTGTCTTTGTTGTATTGTAAAAATGCATAGCTAAGAACCAAGAGAAACCTTCATAAGAAAGAACCCTCCAAACCTTTTGGTGAAATAGCACTAACAATCTTTAACTTTAAATTCAATCAGGCTGCCTGTTTGCGATCGTAATATCCTATTTAGTTCAAACGTTTGATTTGCATAACAAGAGACCATAGGAAAAAATCATGTGAAAGTTTAGAAAGATTCTCGGGTTTTCAGGTCAGTCCAAAATCAATATATGCATGACAAGGGACTATGGGGAACATGCATGTGAAATTAGCAAAAGATCAATCCAGTCTTTCTGAGAAATAACACAAACAAACTTGCATAATGCATAACTAGTAAAATTCATGTGAAAGAGCTATGGCGGATACCAGTTAACTGCCCATATTTCCATTAGTAGGTATTTATGAAAACGGAAAAAAAGCATGAGTAAATTGAATATAAATGTTTGAACTGCTGAGATATTAAGTTTTGTTAATATAATACTGACAATATAGTCATATTCACTATATCTACGAAAGTGATGGGGTTTCCCAGACTTAAACAAAAATACTTTGAACATTTTCCGTCAAAAGGACCAACTTTTGAATAAACTTAATGATTCCGGGATGCGATATGCAATAACAAACCGTATGACGGAAAAGTGGTCCTCCTTTTGGAAAGTGCTCAAAAAAATGAAAAACAGGGGTGATCAAATTTCACGAAACTGTGACAAGTGTTTCTTGGGTTAAAACGTTTGTATTTCCATTTTGGTTTATGTCCAAACTAGAAACTTGTTTTATGAACAAAAGCATATGTTTTCCCTTATTAGCCAATCGACAAACTTCGGTATACATTTTTTTAACAAAGGAATCCATCTCTTTATAAAGTGGGATTCGAGACCCGGATTTTAAATGTGACACACCTACCGTCCAACATACAGAACTATAGCAAGTTTGGTCAACGTAGGTGAAATAGCATGGAAGATATGCCGTGGACTAACTTCGGTACTGAAAATAAACAAAGGGACACAACTTGTATATAGTGGGGCACGATACCTAATTATAGTGCACTGCACACATTATGTTGGTGATGCAGGTTTATTTCGAATTTCATCATGATATCTTAAGCGTTTTAAAATGTACGGGCCGGACAAGAATTTACTGAAAATGTTATATTTAATTTACATTTGACCTTGAGGTGTGGGTCACAATGACCTTACTCCAGTGCACTTCACACCTTCTGTGGGTGATGCATGCATGCCTCAAGTGTCATCAATATATTTTTAACGGTTTAAAAGTTTTGTTACGGACAAAAAACAGAAGAAGAAGAACCAGTACTTATACGGTATTTCTCCTTCATTCGAAGACGATACATAAATAGCCTAATGTGTAACGCAGCGAACTTGTGACCAGTAGAAACCAACAGTGCAAGTTCGAATCCACATTCTGATTCAACTTGATTATATATATAGGCATGTGATTGTTTTACCTTAATTAAGTCAAACAATATTTTTCAAATCAATGCAAAATTGTATTGAAGAGTGAGTTTCTACAAGTTTTAAAACTATCTACCACTGGTTCTTTAAAAGAAGTCAGAAGTATAAACAGTTTACGGAGTACGCACAACACACAACGAACGACGACGGGCGATAGGTGAGCGGAATAGGTCAACCGAGTCTTTGTCTCGGGGCACCTTAAAATAGACCAATCAATAGCACCAATCACATTTGAAGAATTAATCAATGCATTTACACATGAAACAATCTTATCTTAAATTATTTGAATATAGTCTGTCGTAACATTACACTACACTAATATAACAATCACTGCATATAAGTGCATATTTAGCGCTCAAATCCAACAATATATTGCATATACATAACATTGACTAATCACATAATACAAATGATTGATACTGTATAGCACCTACCGAAGAATAGTCAATATTTCAAATTTCAAATTTCCAAAACAAAGCTGTTAAAATCAGTACTTCAGTTTAACAGCATTTTTGTCATAATCTATATTAAAGTATAGGTGCTTCACCAACCAAACTTGGACCAATGCTAAATCTTGGCTTTTTAATTGAAATAAATGCATCAGCTGCTGATA